GGTGCCTTTTAATGTTGTCTTGGTTACTTTTCTATACTTATAAGAGAAAGCATTTAATTTGAGCCTTATGGTTTCAGAGGTTTAGTTCTATGACCAACATGGCACGAGCCTGGCAGCAGACAGTCAGGCCAGCCTCTGATGCTATAGCTAAGAGCTCATATCTTGAGATAAAACCATGAGGCAGAGAGACACCAGGATAGGCCTCATTCTTTCGAAACCTCAAATCTCACTCCTAGTGACAGGCATCCCCAACAAGGCCACATTTCCTAACCCTTCCTGAACAGTCTGAACAGTTACATCACCTGGGTGGGGTGGGGGACCGAGTATTGAAACATAGTAGCCTGTGGGGGCCAATCTCATTCAGAGCACCACAAATGGCATCGTAAACTCTCAAGAGGCCACTCAGATGTTTTGAAATCTGCCTTTAAAACTAACCTCTCACTTATAATAGAAAAGGAAGAGGAAAAAGCAGAGGGAAAATGCTCATAACCAAGAAGAGCATTCTTTATTTCTAAAAATAAACAATTTCATTTGTAGTACATAATTCTGTATGTAAGTAGACAGTGACAGTGTTTGTAACCTGAAAGGTTCAGTCTAGTTATGTATTATTTACTCTCCTTTGCTTACAGGCATAAATACACTTCATGATAAGTGCATAGAAACTATATCCAAGTTTAGTTTCTTTGGCTGAAACTGCTATTTCGGTTACCATTTATGTCATGCACCCAAGATATAAAAGTAGAGTATTTTTGAGTTAAAGTTCATTATTTTAAAAAATGCATTTCCTGGGGCTGAGGGATTTCTCAGTGATTAAGAACACTGGCTGCTCTTGCAGAGGTTCAGGTTCAGTTCCCAGCACCTACACTGAGGGCAACAACCATCTATATATAACTCTAGTTCCAAGAGAATCTGATACCTTCTGATCTCTACCAGAGCCAGGCAAATATATGGATATAGTTACAATACTCATACAGGTAAAATAACAAAATATAAAAAATACATTTCCTACTTGTTTGATACAATATTCGTGTAGCTATATGATTATGCAGTTCAGAATATGCATGACTCAGAATTAGTTTATCAGGCACCATTCTAGAAAACAGTATTTTCATGACAAATTGTCAATGCTATGCAACAAAATTACAGACGTGACAACTTTGGAATTTAAAAGAGCTTTTAAATTATTTTCCCCATAAATTACATTCAGGTGAGTCACAGTGCCACTGAAGCTTCTTCTAATGTCTCATTCAGACCAGATGCAGATTAACATGGTGTGAAATTCACCCCAGTTTCAATTAGACTGCTTTTTCAACACCCGCAACCTCCCTTCCTGTGCCTTGGTTAACTAGCGTTGCTTCTTCCCCACAACCCCCAAGAATAAAGATCTACCTTCTTGATGCTAATTCTTCTCAAGACAGATGAACTTGACACTTGCTCTGTCCCTTCCCTGTCCCCACTTTGCATTTGACATTTACTAACAGAAGTTTGCACTTCTCCATTAAAGACACAAGAGAAGCTGATGACCTATGATCCACTTTTCTGAGATGATCTGAAGTAACTCTGAAAGGAGTTTTCATGTAAGAGAAGTTTTACAGTCATCTTTAACCATATAAATCCATGTCTCTTCTCTGTACTTCATGAAGTAAAATTCAGCTGCTGTCCTCCTGTAAACTGATCTTTATGATATCAGCTTAATGATAATCCTAGCAGATGAGAAAAATGCTTTACTAGCCAAACAGTAACTAATAGCTAGTATTATAGTGAGAACTGAATAGAACTGGGGCAGGAAATGTCTCATTGTAGGCAGTAAGAGAAAGGGGCTCATGGTGAAGATTTCTTGTTGATCACAAAGATAAAGGTCAATGCAGATATTGGGGTTAAAATGAAGGTTGGAGTTAAAACTGCAAAGGAAGATGAAAATGAAAGCTTGCAGCTGAGTATGAGACTACTATGATTGTTAGGAATACAGCGCAATGGCTTGGGACCATGAGTGGCAGGTCCCCAGGTGATGGATGGTGGCTGGTGGGAAACAGAGACATGTGGACATGACTCATAGTGGAAGTTTTATTGAGGAGGGAGGTAAGAAAATAAGGGAAGGTAAAAGAAAAGAGGTAAAGAGACATGGAGAAGACAGAAGGGAAGAGGGAGACAGGAAAAGTCCTGTCTTCCCTTTCTGAGGAACAGTGGGAAAGAGAATGGTAATGGGTGGAGTTTTTCTTTTAAAGGGCCAGGGTACATACACCTGCCATGCCATGCACAGGTGGGTGAGAGGCGGAGCTGGGTTTGCCTGGATACAACAATGATGACTAAATAAGAAAAAAAAAAAAAGATAGGTTCTAGGTAGCAAGGTCACTACTGGCAAGCCAGATGTCCAGTGTCCTAGGGAGTGGATAAGTCTAGAATGAATGTTTATTTTTGATATAAGTGCAGTCATGTCAGAAGACCCTAGTGTCTCAGACCCACAGGAATGCCAAAGACTCCCCCTTGTCTGAGTACAGATGTTGACAGTGTGTGCAAGTGTCAACCACAGCTTTCTACTCTCGGTTGACTGAAGTCCTAGACAGCCTCCATGTAGAGACATCTTACCAGGAATAGCTAACCCATGTCCTTGTTTGCCTATATATTCTAAGCTTTTCTGTATGTGCCAGTCATTTCTTCATCCCCTGTTCCCTAATCCAATCAATCCCAGGCAGGCTGCATCAATGGCAGAACACAAACAAGGCACAGTTGCCCTTTCATAAAGTCTTTCTTCTAATTCAGCTGTCACAGACTAAATTGTGAGTAAGGATGTCTTCTAACAAGAAGCTCCCATGAAGTTCAGAAAGGAGACTACCCTATACACAAAGTGAAACTGAAGTAATAAAGGACAGCTGCAGCCGCATCTTGGTAGCTGTGATCAAGTTAGCCCTCTGCCACAATAAAAGTATAAGCTGGTCATGTGAATGTGGGAACAAAGGGACCATGATTTAATTAGCATCCAGAAATGTATCTGCTAACAGACAGAGATCAAGTCCAATAGCTAATGACAGAAGTCAGTGATGAACTGAGTTGGGCTTTTATTACCCTGATGGAGTGGACAACAAGCAAACAGGGCATGATCATTTCAGAGTTGGGGCAGACAGACATGCAGAGAGTGTGTTTTCCCTCCATTAGCTTGGCCCATGGTACCCTAGAAAACTAACCAATCTCAATAGAAATTATCTCAGCATTTGTCAAGTTTCTGCTGAAAATCCTATAAATAAAAATAAAATTTTCTAGACTTTTCCTTGGCTTTCCCACTCTTAGAAATGGCTTTTCACCCCTCCCACTTTCAGGAGTTTCTCACTTTCCCTTTGTTTTCTGTGCTCACTCCTACATAGGTCTGTGTCTTTAATCTTCATCTGAGACAACTCAAAAACCACTGTGGATTTTTGGTGAGAGTTGAGTTTCTGACATCCCAAATCCCTGTATCATATACATGCAAGCTGAGAGAAGGCCAGTTGTTCTATTATAGCTACAACAGAACCAGCAAGAGTAAGTAAAACCAAAGAGTCCAAAAGTACTGGCTAGATCCAAGAAGAAATGGCTTCCAGTTTCAGCCAGGACAGACAAGCTATGTGATATCCAGTCTACATCTCTGAATTATTTTTTTGTATCCTGTCCCCAATTGTTCCAGGATCATAGGCAAGGTGCTTTTAGAATGCCTGATACTCCATATTTGGGGGGAAGAATTGCTGGTATATCTAAGAAACATGCCACATAGAGCCTCTTGTGGGTGTGTCTTAGTTTAGAGAATTTATAGACAGCAGGTCCCACCTAGATATCTTTTACATCTTTTACTAGTTTGTTGGTTATTACCCTACAAACTTCCTTATCTCACTTTTTTCTCAAAAGTACTTTCTATGGATCAACTAGAAATTCATTTAAATGTAGCAGTTCTATTGAAAACACACACACATTCGAACTTAGAATCAACATGCCTTCATCACGTGGTTCATGCTGTTTACTTCAGCATATGGATAATAAACGGCTGCATCACCAGAACAAAGACTTTAATGGATGTTGAAATAGAAAATGATTGAAAGGTGAGAATACAATAAGCATAGCTACCAGGGAAGCAAAGGCTGAGGCAACACCTATGTGGAATGCATAATGAGGAGGAGCAGGAAAAACAAGTTCTTTTCCTATCCACCTTTTTAGAATTTTACACATTTGCAGGAAAATATAATCGCAGATCCATAGGATGTTGAGATTTCAGGACTTGGCATCTATGTTTAGGCACAAAAAGTTGAAGTGGGCAAAAAAAACTAGTAAGAGTCTCATCCATTCTATTTAGACATCCAAAAAGAAAAACTTGGGGTAATGGTCCCAAGTGCCCACCTCAGCACCCCATTCCATGGTTCTCAGGAAGCTTAGGCCTTCTCCTCCAAAGCTAACCTCTTGCCTCACTGTCACTGTCAAAGTGAGAAGTTGCCCATGGTCATCTTTGTTTATGATCCTTTAATAGTTTGAAAAAAATTAAATTCTCTCTGATGAAGACTTCCCCGGAGGCTACTGAGTAAATTAAGCAAGCAAAAGGTGTTGTAGTCTACCAAGTAACCTAAAGAAGGCAACCCAATAATTATATCCTGCCACTCTATATTTACACTTGACTCCCAAGAGTTCTCCACTTCTTACATGCATAGTCATTAAAATAAATACTTATGTACTTATGTGGCCAGTGTTAGAATGAAGAGGAGTATTATTACATTATCTAACCTGTAACTTTCTTCCCCCGATGTCTGCTTAGAACTTGAGCTGTACTAGACGAAAAAAAAAAAAAAAACAAAAACAAAAACAAAAAAAAAACCGATATTAGACCCAAAAATAACAATGTAAGAACTTAAAGGTCAACGCTGCTGTGAAAAGGGATGTGAGCTTCTCAGCCAGGCTGTTCTTCCTCACTAAGCCAGGTGGAGCTCATCTAGGCAAGTGGAGCGAGAATTGTGAAACCAGCCCACTCAAATGGTCTTTGCCACCCATCAGAAGCGACTCTCTTCCTCTTCCACTGCACGATGAAGGCCAGGGATGAATTTCAAAATCTGCTTCCGGACACTTCCCCGTCTGCTTTTCCGGGGTAAAGTCCCAAACATGCTTGAGTAATTGCCCTCCCACAAGGGGGATAAGGATCCATTGCTAGTGACACTGATGCTCCGGTTTCTCCTGGAAGCAGCATTCCTCAGAATGTCATCTCCATCCTTAGAGAGAAAGCACTCATCATCGGTGCTGGTCTGTCGGCTGAAGGCGCCCCGGCTGGAGTCCTCAGACACACTTGTCCTGTAGCCGTCCTCACTGTCCATGGTCACAGAGCTCAACCGGCTTTTACAGCTGCTCTCACTGGACAATCGGTTCCGGTCCAGGAGGGCTGGGCCAGGCCCCAGCAGATTTCCAAACAAGGACAACTCATCCAGGTCCATGTTTTCCAAGTTTGGGGAGTTAGCAGCATCTCCTACAATACAGAGAAGAGTCTATTGTGGGATGGAAGTGACCACTAGTCCCTACAGGAAAGCAAACCCGTCTTTAAAGAATACAAGAGGAGAAGGCCAAATACTTTGGCCTGAGTTTTCACTAGCACACATACGGTTAGAAGAGTTTCCCAAACTAGCATCCAAATTTAAACAAGATATTTCATGTGCATACCTTGGATGTGGAATGTGCTCCAAGAGACTTATTATGCGTTGGTGGGAGATGGTGAAAACTGAAAGGTCTGTCTCCTGGGAGGATTTAGGTCACTGGGGACATGGTCTTTCTTGGATTACAACTTCTGTGTCCTGGTACTTTCTTTCACCTGACTCTCCAGCCACCAACAGAGCTCTTTTATTTTATTGAGTGCTTCAGCCATGATGTACCATGATATGCCACCACAGGTCCATGCCTAATGGACTGAAATCTCCAAACTCTGAGCCAAGTAAAACTTCTATTTCTGTAAGCTGATTTAGTGGCAGATAGCAGGTATGAAATCAGTTCAACCCAACTGACACTATGACAGTGTGACTCTATGAACCTCCAGGTGCTAATTTCTTAAATTGTGTAACCCTGGAAACTTTTGTGAAAACGCTCAAAGAAGTGGGGTCGAAATAAATGCTCAGAGAAATGCTCCTCTGACTCTTATTAGCTGTCTTGAAAGAATCTTAAGCTTATTATCAAGTCATTTAAAGTGTATGTAAAAAACCAGTTACAAATCAGACCATGTGCTTATAAAAGGCTTATGAAGTCAACTATACCTTTCAGCCTCAATATTCCCAATTTCCTACTGGAATGGCTGGGAATTCTAGAATGGTGCTGAGCCTAGGAAGCATCTCTGTCCTCAAGCATGTACCACCGAAAACAGAGTTCTATTTGCTTGGCCAAGTTTTTCCATCAATGCTTCATAACCCACAAATGGGTTCCCCAAACTGAGTGATGAGTCATGTTCTCTCCTGCCCCACCAGCTTCTCATCACTCGGTCAGCTAGTGTGCTCAGAAAAGCATAACTGAGAGTGTGAGATGTCAAGCCCTCCACAGGGTGTCCCGTGTTAGTCATCTTTGCTCTCCTGTGTCTTTGCTTGGCAACATGGAAAAGAGATACCTCTCTTACTCCATTTGATCTATGAGGCCATGTGCAGCCAGCATGCACAGTACTTTCCTTTCTGCTACTACAGCCTGCTTGGTCTCATCTTACAATGAGCTGATAAATCTGAATGGAAGAGCAACTGCTTTATGGACCCTCATGTTCTGGGAGCTTCTTCTAGTTCTATAGAAAGCAGATGAATGGACACTCTCAAAAATGTGCAACAGTGTGCTTTTGATATTAGGTCTATTTCATACTGTTCCTATATATGTGGAAACTGTACACACTGGGGTTGCTTGGGAACTATCAGTAGTTGGGGCAAAGGCTTCTGCAATACCCATATCTATGAAAACCAGGAAGTTGAACAACAAGGCTTTAAGGAAGTCTTTGTCACTCTCTATTTTAAAAAAATAACCTTCTGATTCCTCACAATGTAGTCTGATAGACCCAAGCATGATAATAAAGTCCTGTAATGTGAACTAGCATCAGAACGGTGAGGAAAGAGACTTTTGCCATAGCAAAACCCTCTCCCAAAATGACAACAACAAAAGTTAAAAAAAATCATAAAAAAGGAAAAGTAGGCCATCCTGATAACCTGAGGTCAATTCCTGGAACCCATACGGTTAATAGAAGAGTAGAAGGAGAGAACTGACTCTTGCAAGTTGTCCCCTGACCTTCACATATATCCTCTGTGGCACAAAACATGTGTGTGAGTACAAACACACAGAGACAGTATAAATAAATAATTTTATAGAGAGAAGTAACTCTTACAAGTTTCAAACTAGTCTTGTAAAAAAATGCATATCAAATCTCTACAGTGTTATCAGTGTCTAAATGATGCCTTAGTGTTTATAAGGAACCCCAGAAAACAGAAAAATAAAAGACTCTAAGATACAAAGAAGAATATACTTGGATAGATAATTGTTAAAAGGAGACATCAAGGGCTGGAGAGATGGTTCAGAGGTTCAGAGCACTGACTGCTCTTCCAGAAGTCCTGAGTTCGATTCCCAGCAACCATATATTGGCTCACAACCATCTATAATGAGATCTGGTGCCCTCTTCTGGTGTCCAAGGCTGAATGCTGTATACACAATAAATAAAATAAAAAAAATAATAAATCTTTTTTAAAAAGGCAACATCAAATTGGCCAACAGATATATGAAAAATGTCTGGTGTCATTAATTATCTGGTAAGCACAAGTGACTCACTACACTCCCGTAAGGATGCTTATACCAAAAGGACACAAAATCAAAATTAGTGGTGAAGATGTGGGAAAAGAAACAACCCTCCAACATTTAATCTACCATGGAGAATAGTGTAAAGACCACACACACAGACAGACAGACAGACAGACAGACACACACACACACACACACACACACACACACACACACACACACCTGCCATATCATATCATCCAGTAATGTTACTAGCATTAAGAAAACAGGATGAGTGTATCAACAAAACCTGCACATTCATGCTCAGATTATCACTATTCACAGATGTCAAAGCATGAGCTCTACAAAGACACCTGCCAACTGACAAATGGAGGGTGAAAATACAGTAATACAGAGTGGAATACCATTTACTCATGAAAAAAAGGAAGAAATTTCTTTATTTGTGTTAGTATGGGCTTGGAGATTGTTGTGTTAAATGAAGGAGCCCAAGTACAAAAACACAAATATGAAAGGATCTCAATTCATGCACTATCTGAAAATGTTTGCTGGTCTAACAGTTGTTGAAAGTGGAATGTTGTTACCAGAGGCTTGGCAGGGACAGAAAGTGGAGAGGTTCATGGAAACTATGATCCATGGGCCCTAATTACAATTAGTTACGAGTGGGACATCCAGTGTGCTTCACATGGTAGGGTGACTATACCAAACAAGAAACTAAACTTCCAAAAGCTACAAGGAAGATATTTTAAGAGCCTTTACTACCAAAAACAGATAAATGTCTGAGGAGCTAGTCAATCTTGACTTAAACATTGTATAATGTCCACATCACATCACAATGTATCACATGACATCCATGACCAGATACAGTTTGTATGGTTCTATGAATCAGTTTTAGGTGATTTTTAAATGGCAGCTTTTTCTGCAAGGTAGTTACTGTTTGAACAAATATTCCAGATGCTAAATAGAGTTAGAGCAGAGTATTACCTAAAGAAGAGATGACCTACATTCCAGCCCAAACAGCTAGTGACATCAGCACATTATTTGTGCATGGACTTCTTTCCTCCTAGCTATGAAGGGCCACGCATGGAATTTCAGTGCTTGGGAGACAGAAGCTTGAGGATGCTACCTTGGGCTGCATAGTGATCACCAGGCTATGTAGGGCTATATAGCAGGACACTGCCACAACCGACCTCCCAAAAGAGATGCCCACTTCCTCAAGTAACACAGCAAAGAGCAAGCTGGCTGACTAGAATCAACTCATTGCTCTAAATGTGTAGACAGCAATCACTGCTTACCATCATAATACTGTTATATGCCTGTCTTGGTCCTGAGATTTTCTGTATAAATGTAACCAATACAATTTGGTAAATGGTTTGCATGCTACCTATAAAGGATCCAGCCACGCCAGTTTGAATAGCCTCAGCCAGAATCATTTCTAGAAATCTAATTCATTGGCTGGGGTGGTAGATAGGAATAGCAGGTGATGTTATCGTCAGCTCTTCTGCAATTGTTGATGATCACCTATGGCAAGTGTGTCCATACATGTTTTTATATGATTATGCACTGTGTGTGGAGAAGGGAGTGTAATTTGACACACCCTCCTCCAAACACACAGGTCACCCAGTGTTCATCGCAGCAAAATACAGACTAGTGTCTTTCATTGGTGCTAACAAGACATTTACCGTAATAGTGATCATCTTAAAATATTTGGAGGTAAAAATACTGAGAGGGTGCAATGAGAATGTGGTTTCCTGACAGGAAATTGAGCTTACCATGCAGCAGTCGCTGTTCCTGTAAGTGCAGAGACCTGAACTCCACCCATTTTTTCTTCAAGGTTTGCTGTGAGAAAGATGGGGGGGAAAGTTCTGAGTCTTAGGAAATCCCAAACAGGCAAGGCAGTGGAGACCAGCAGCATGGCCAGCCACTGCCATTCTTCAGACTTCTGCTGAATTACAGAGGATATTAGGAAAACTGATTTCTTAGGACCAACAAATCTTCTCTTCACAAAGAAGAAAACAGATGAAGTTTCATTTCAAAAATATAGAGCTAGATTGCTTACATTTGAAAGTGCTTATTAGCTGTTTCCACATGAATGATATAGATAACATGGAATAGAAACTGAGTAGTTAACAGATGAAAAGTTTGGAGCAGCAACTAAATGTTAATCAATGCTTAGTATATACCATCATCAATCAATGTCTGGGCTCCGAAACAAACCTTTTATTGGACATCTACCTAGAGCACACTTAAGCACCCTAACTGATTTGTTTTGAGGTGTCACCTCATGTAGCCCAGGTTAACTTTGAAACTTGATATTACTATGTAATTGAAGGTGATATTGAACTTTGGATACTCCTACTTTCAATTTCCAAGTACATGCCCCACCATGTCACTTATGAGGCTCTAGGGAGAAATCCCAAGGCATGGAATATGCTATGCAAGCACTCTACCAACTGAGTTGTATCCCCAGCCCATACCCTGCCTTCACAGCTCTTCTCTTGGCTGCTGTGGAAAATGAAAAGAGTGGCCATCATGAGAATGAGGAGACAAGCACAGAAGGCCTGGCCTGGTCAAAGGAGGTCAAAGCCAACTGGGACAAAGCCATCTGGAAAGGCAGGTGTAACATGCTCACTCTCCTTCCTGTTTCCTGCCCTCCCCATTTCACCTGTGCCTTTGCTATTTTAGGTCCCCATAGCAAGGCCAGCATGTGACTGCAGCTCAGACTTGCCAAGGACATTTATCCATAAGAATGCGGCCTAGTTGGAAAAGAGAAGTACTTTGTACACCACCTGGAGGGAGTAAATGATGATTCTAATACAAAGATTCTTATAAATGTACATTTGAAAGGAAATGGGAGAAAGAGAAGAAAATAAAGTCTCAAGAACATCATTAAATGAGTACACAGAGCAGGGGGTCATTCCTCAGTCTGTAGAACACTTAGTTTGGCTCACAGAAGCATCTGAAGCAATTCTTTGGCTGTCAAATAACAAAAGCAGCAAATGCTTAGCTTGGTTCATTGGCTTTTCTTTCCTAACTGTGATATCATTCACCAGCAGTCATAGGAAGGCTGGCTGTATCAGTCATTGTGATTGTCATTTCGTAAGTTTATAGTTATGTGAGGATCAGACTCAGAGGCTTGAGGTGCGGCCAGAGCTACTGTATGTACCTACACATGTCTTCCTTGCTAAATACATTTGTCTCCTACTAGAGAATAGAGCAGAGGAGAGGAACAGGATGGGCTATTGGTCAAAACTAGAAACACAAAGACAAAAATGTTGTCTTTCTGAATTTAGTTTTCAAAAGTACATGGACAGAGCTTTCTGAAATGTTCATATTTGTGACAGAAGGTTTTAAGATTGCTGGTTTGCCTGTCTAACTTAGTCATCTTAATGTGCCATGACTTACACCAAAAAAAAAAAAAAAAAAAAACACCATTATAAAGAAGAGACACAGCAAACAGAGTGACTATTTTCAATCTGAAACTGATTTCTATTATCCTCAGGGTTGTTTCTATCTGTGTCACTGCCATTACAATCATACATTCAATCATATCTAAATTTTCTTTACCAGATGAGTGTTAAAGCACGCATGGATCTGACCATATGCTACCACGTTATGTCACTGGACCCATACATGGCAGCTGAAGGAATGGATGGAAAATATTGAATAGATATACAAAGGAACAGCTTCCTGAAAACAACCCTCATCTATCACATGTTGAGTTGGTTCCAGATTTGTCCCTAGTATTTTCCATTCTATGTAAATATAAATAACATTTCTCCTGGCACCTAACTTTTTCATTGTGCTCTTACAAATAATGTGCCATTAAATTTCATAATTTTGTTGTAGGCCAGAACATAAAATGTCACTGAAGCAAAATATTTCTCTAGGTATATAATAGAACTAGTAGGTATCAGAGATACATTTAAAACTAGGTCTTTTAACTAGTTCACTATTTGTGCTAAGCATCTGAAGCATAGGTTAAGATAAAGGAAATCCCTGAAAATGTGACTCAGAAGGGACAACTTCTTCCAGAGAAGAGATTGGGGCTCCACCCAGTCTTTGCAAATAGGATGCAAAATGAATGTCATTGTGCAGAGGGGAAGCCAGCCTGACTTTAGTTATAGGTCAGGTCCAGTCATCTCTGCCTTGAGGGACTAACTACAAGTCTCATCATTGCAAGACTGGATGAGAGACATGAATGCAAGATGCTAAACAGAAATGAACTTCAAAATATGTCAGGCAGAAGCATCAAAAGTTAGCTAGGAATTTAGATTCTGTGGTAATATGTGGATTCAGTGTGTCTATTTAACACAATGAACTCAGCCAAATTTCCTTCATGACAGATGACCCCTGGCTGAGCACCAGGTACTACGAAAAGGAGGCTGACAAAAGCTGCTAGCAGCTGGAGGCTGACATCTTGGGAGACAGGAACACCGCAGGGCCTCATGATCTTAAATGGACTGTGCCTTTACTCTCTGAGAGAGGCAGTCAAGCTGCCAGACCTGGCCCTGCAAGAGGAGCTTTGAAGCTCTGAATGGAGGGAACTGTACAACTATCTCATGGAGAAAAAGAAGAAGCTGACACTCAACCTGACAGCATCCACAGAAAGGCATGCCACTCAGGACATGGATTCTCTCTGAGCAAAAGAAACAGGCAGGCTCCAAAACAGATACCAAGTCAGAATTTATAAATTCTGATAGAAAAATGAAAAAAATAGGATCAGTGTCAGTGTTTATTAGCACAAAGAAGTTGACAGAAATGATATCAGATAGATATAAAAAGGAATATTTTGTCAATATAGTGTAAATCACCTTTAAAGCTAATTAGAAAAACACATTCTATATGGAAGACAGATAAAAATGATGCTACTGATGTCATTGTTAAGGAAGACAAATCAAAAGACCCTAATGCATTTCTAATACAACTCCACAAGGGAATAGGGGAAGTAAAAAGGAAAATGCATCCAATGAAATGGTTTCCCCAGAGCTAGAGTCAAATGTCTGCAGACATAAAGATCAGTGCCAACTTTTAAACAGTATGAATTGAGTCTGTACCTAATTAAGTTATAGTCAAACGTGACCAGAGAGGGAGGGAGAGAAACACACACACACACACACACACACACACACACACACACACATACTCACATAGAGGTGAGAGGGTAGTATAATTTGAAAGTACTCTAGAGAAAATTGTCAAGAGGGAAAAAAGCATGAATATAGAATACATGAAAATGAGGACAAAAATCTTAATATGGCAGAGGTTTAAATGTTACGAATAAAAGTTTATCAGGCCCTGTCAAATATTTGAAATTTAAAAAACTTCATTGACCAAAACAGAACCCACTAAAGCTGTTATTTAGAAAGAACCTTTGAGTAGTTTTACTAATAATAAAGAAATTGAAACCATGGTTTGGAAGTATTCCCTCCAGAAAGAACCCCAAATCCTGATGATGCAGATGCTATTAAAAAAAATTCTACCAGAGAACAAAAGAGGAACAACCCTGCTCATATCATACACTTAGTAAGTTGAACACTGAAACATAAAAAGGATCCTGAGAAATAAAAATATAATCAATCAGAGCTATTTTAAAAATTCACCAACTGCTGCAAAGTAAGCCTAAAAGAACATAAAATAGTTGTGAATCTCAAGGTAACCATGTTGGATTTATGTTCAAAAATAAATGGTACTTTTACATTAGAAAAAATACTTAGCACCATTCACCATACAGACAGATATTTTTAATAAATCCTTGAAAATAATTTCTTATTAGATGCATGAAAAAGTATTGAATAAAATTTAATACATAAGCATCATAAAAATGTTGTTTAGATGGAACATTCTTGAACCTGAACTGTATTCATCAACAGATCTCATTCCTAAAGTGTAAGATCTGGAAGAATCACCTTAAAGGACAAAATAAGGGTGCCTATGATTGTTTCCCTTATCTTAAGCAAATCTTAGCCCAAGAAAATAGAGCAGAGAAAAAAAGGAACCAGTTCCATTTTGTACAATTATTATCCTTACAGAGCACACCAAATAATATACAAACAACTTAAGGGAGACTATAGGGTCTAACAAAGTGCTTGATTATTAGCCACAGCATAAAAATGATTGATTTATACCTATACATTAGCCATAAAATTTTACCTTTATAAAAGAAACCCATAATAAATAAAATTATAAAGTGGTGGCACACGCCTTTAATCCCAGCACATGGAAGGCCGACTCAGGTGGATCTCTGTGAGTTCGAGACCAGCTGGTCTACAAGAACTAGTTCCAGGACAGCCTCCAAAGCTACAGAGAAACCCTGTCTCAAAAAACAAGACAAAACAAAATAAAATAAAACAAAAATAATAATTATAAGGTAGAAAGGATAATACAACAAATGACTATATGACCTATATGTGTGAAATTATCAGATTTTATGAAAGATGCATGGAAAATAGTAAAACTGTTAAGATAACTTGGTGGGGGTTAGGGTGAGAATAGGAGGAGAAAAGTGGGGAAACTGTGACTTGGATATAAAATAAGTAAATAATTAAAAAAAGATACCTGTGGTAGTTTAAATGTAATCGGGCCCCATACACTTTTAGGGACTGGCACTACTAGAAGTATGGCTTTAGTGGATAAGGTATGACCTTTTTGGAGGAAGTATGTCACTATGGTAGCAGACTTTGAGGTCTCCTATACTCAAGCTATGTCCAGTGTGGATAATAGTTCACTTCCCGTTGGCTGTGGATCAAGATGTTGATCTCTCAGCTTCTTCTCCAGCACCATGCCTGCCCATATGCCATCATGTCCATCATGTTGATAATGAACTAAACCCCTGAAACTGTAAGCCACTCCAATTAAATGTTTTCCTTTATAAGAGTTGCTGTGATCATGGTATATTTTCACTGCAATAAAAATCCTAACTAAGACAATAAACTATAAACAAAAAATGAAATACCATGTAATATTTAATATTCTTGGCACCGACTTATCTATATAAAATGAAATGTCAATTAAACCTGTATCATTTACTCATGGAACTTGACAATTTGACAGATGATCAACAGACTAACATTGTCCAATTAGATATCACAATTTATAACAAACTGAGTTAGATATAAAAGATAAATTAACCAGTAGACCACAATGGAGAATATGTGAGTAAATATGGCCTTACATGAAAATTATTTTAAAATATAAGTTCTACAGCAATTCAATTGAGGAAAAAAGCAAAATATAAAAATTCATTATATTGGGAGAACTTCCTGTGCATATGGAAAAAATCAAATTATTCCATACTGTGTAGTATATGCAAATAATATTTCTAAATGAATTAAAGACTTCAATATGAAAAAGAAAAAATTTTAATGTAGATGACTGACAACTGATCAATGTTTAGGGAGTCATTTATAAACAAATATTTCAAACGTTTTCAAAGAACTGAGGAGACAAAACTTAGACCTCATTAACCTAGAATAGTTTCAATCACCTAGAAACCAGTTCTTCAAGTGTAGCAGAGAAATATAAGAACATTTCTGGAGAGATCAAATGGTCATAATTTAATAAAATAATTTGCAAGAGTAAAATGAAGGAGCAATGAAAGCTCACCAATGAGACATATTGGTTTATGTTTTCACTTCAAGCTATTCATAATAAAATCTCACAAAATGATAATTGATGAAATGCTCTAAAGTAAATAATGAGAAGATGTGTTCTTAAGTATATATTCAAAGTATATTAAGGTCCTACTTATAGTCTAGAAGAGAGCAGTGATACTGAAAGGCACGCACACTAGTAGTTAAAACTAGGTAATTATGTACATTAAAATTACAGAAATTTTGTTAAAATTATGTTCGAAGAGTTATAAATTGCTGAAAAGCATTTAGTAGTGCTTTACTCAAGTAAGCACTGCATCCCAAGAAATAATAATGCATTATTTTATGTAACAAGACATAAAATCAAGAGTCTATTTATCATATACGTTTTTTTAAAACAAAATACCGAGGACTAAACATTTGAAAGAAGATGTTCAGCAAGAGTATTTGCTGTTTACAAAAACAAATTAAATTTTGGAAGTTTAATAAACCTAAATATAGCATAAATTACTTACTACCTCTCTAAAAATGCAATAAAAATGATAGAAGCCATTCTTTAAAGTGAAGAATAATACAATACTTTATAATATATTGACGATCCTAGCCAATGCTATATGAGAAGAAAAGTAAATTAATCGAATAATTGAACTAAAGATAAACATCAAAGGATTACCTTTTATTACCTCGAGAATACATTTGAAAATGCATGAAGGAAATTACTCTGGAGTATATTAAGTATAAAATAAAAATGGGAAAACTTATATTCAAAGTAGGAAAAATGAAAGCCATAAAGATTTTAATTGTTCTCATGTATTCTACTCTAAAATTTAATTCCTATCAAAATCTGAGCAGAGAGGATTCTTCAATGATTTTTTTAATTGATCTTAAGATTCATGGGGATGGACACTACTGCAAGAATGTCAAAACCAATATTAATGAAGTTTGCTAGTGAATTCATGGTATAAAGGAAAGATTCTAGGTAAACTATAAATACAGTGAACTGTTCCCTTGAAATCTACCACTAATAAGTGTACTGCTTCATGAGAAAAACTAAGGGATGCAGATTTTAACAAAGTAAAAGTAAATAGCTTGGTTGTAGCCAAGCCATCTCTGCGTAGGCTGCTCCATTGTCCTACGGGGGTAGTACTAGGATCAGGTGGCCAGTTAGGACCTGGGAGGAGTCAGGAGCATCTTTGACTGACTCTGAGTGTCTGGAGTTCATAACTTGGAAGGCTCACCAACTTAGAGAACTGATATTTTGAAAACCTTCAAAGAGTCATGCTAGGGAATTTTCATTGAGCATCCTACATTAGGCACTGTAACCTGTGACCTTTTTCTTTCCTTCCAAGCCAGTAGTGTGTTTGCCAGTGGAGGCAGATTCAAGGACAGCCACAGGGTTGGTGGTAAATAGTCCATTTTCAGAATGGTTTGGGAAGAAAGGACGCAAAGGACACTGGGAAAGCAAAAGTGATGGGCCTGCCAGCACTCAGGGCTCCTTTTTTCCTCCTTAACAAAATGTAAATCAAGAGTGATCACAGGTGCATCAATGAAATCCTTCTTCAGGTAAGTTGCCGTCCCTGAAGATGCCTTCCCTGCTGGCATCTGAGCCTCATAGACTCTGAATGAGGAAGGAAGAGGGTGATTTACACATATTCACAGTCTTAGATACTCCTGCAGAAGTAATTTTGTGGCCCTTGACGAGTCAGTAGTTTAGATGCATCCTGACATTTCCCCTTCAAGGGCTACCTCAGTTCCTCAGATAGATCATTATTCTACTCCTCACACATTCAAGGATGAGAAATAATGTGCTGTGTTAAATCAAATTACCTTTAAAGCCTGCAGCTTTGCTTCAAGCTCTGCTCTCCTGTGAATCATTGCTCCATTAAGAGTCTCTATCCTGCTTGAAGAGAAGGGAAAGGTGGGGGTAAATAGCAGATCTATGCCTTCCAAGAGGTCCCATCCTTATGAAGCACTGCATGCGAAGGGCAGACTGTACTAGAAATGCACTTTTCCTAAGGCTCTCCACATGGAGTGTGGATACTTGAGTGTATGGACCTAAGCCAAATTCCCAACAACCCTGGGAGAGAGAAAAGGGGATGATAAATTGTCTGACAAAGAGTATATGGAAAGATCCTGGCTAATTTACAAACTATAACTTTTCTAGAAGACACTATGTGCTAATGGTGGTTACACTCCACCAGAATCTATTCTTACCTGAACTGGCTGAATAATCTCAGTCATTTGGTGAATATTCACTGGTCATCTACTATGAGCCAAACAGTATCTCAACAAAAATAGTATTCAGGACTTTCACTATAGAGGGCTCAAAGTGTTGAAACAGGGAAATTTTTCTGCAACCTCATATGACCTTTTCATCTCAAAATCTTTAGTTTACAAATGGCTGTCCTAGAATTATCAGTTTAACAACATTCTTCTTGTCCTACACCAAAGATTTCCTAAAAATAGGAACCTTGTTCTCCCTGGAGGTGGTTTGTTTTCACTGTTGTTTTGGCTACAAATCATCCAAGTACAGTAGCTAATTTCACCTTTGGATCACACTCTTAAGCATTTTAAAGTATTTGTTCTAATTCCTTTTGACTGCTAAATTGTAATTATATTCATGGAAGTTTGAGAAAATTTAAAGACGTGGTAAGAGCACTATGTGTGAACTACTTTTCCTCTATTCTTCCAGAATCAGACCCAACATAATAAGATGATAGTACAAATACTGTCTGATTGCTAGTGGAGATACTCTCTGCTTTGTGGACAATAGAATCATTAGAAAGCTGCGTAAGACTCTCGGCCTTGTTCTAGCCTATCTAAGCAAGGGATGTGTGGAGATGGGCCCTTCCTTCAGGATTTGTTCACACGATCTTACATTCTCCCAATCTGTTTATTTCTAAGAACTATCTCTAACTTTATCTATCTGTGGTCTTCTTGCCTTCTTGCTTTATCTGTGGGACATATTTTTCTGACTCTAACCAATAGCATTTTGTCTATCTGGTTCTGGGTTTCTTTGAGGGACGAGCTTTCCTAACTTTTTTTTTTTTTTTTTTTTTGGTTTTTCTGAGACAGGGTTTCTCTGTGGCTTTGGAGGCTGTCCTGGAACTAGGTCTTGTAGACCAGGCTGGTCTTGAACTCACAGAGATCTGCCTGCCTCTGCCTCCTGAATGCTCTTAAGAACTAAAACTAAGAGGATGGGGTTCAGCTCTACCATCATCAGTCATCTTTAAAACTGCCTCAACACATCCATCCCAAACTTTCTTTGAAGTATCAGTGAAGAATTTAGTGGAGTCTACTGGTAGCTCACGATGAGCAGCTGTAACTGGCAAGAGCAAATCTGACATCCATGCAGGTTAGATTCTGTTGTCACCCACTACTCAGCTGAGCACAACTAACCCCTCCTTACCTCAGGCACTTCCTGTACTTAAAGGAATAAACTCAGGCTTAAAAAGAGGCTATGAAAAAAATGAATTAGGTAATGTTGAAATGACCTAACTCCGAATAAAATCTAAATAACTGGCACAGCAATGCATCTCAAGTTCTGATGCTTGGTCAACTGTGACTTCATCACTCATACTTTCTCTCTAATCCCCCAGCCACCAATTTCACTTGTCCTCGGGGTTTGCCAAATCCACTTCCAAAGCTCAAAGACATCGTTCTTTACCAACATGTTCCTACCAGGAGTTCATATGACCATTTCGTCCCTCTGTTTAGTCTCAGCGCTAATCATACATCCCCAGAGTGGAGCACATTGAATACTGAATCTCTCCTGGCCCTTTTCTTATTCAGTGTTCTCCAGTGTTGCACTATTCTCCTTTCTTATAGTGGTTACCAATAACTTCAATTTTAAAATTTCAGGCTTTTCTTAGAAATTTTTAGAGTTCTTCATTCTTTATTTTTGCCTCTAGAATATACACAGAGATAAAAACTTAATATTTGCTCAGTGTATATGATTTTAATGCAATAATACATTTGATTATAGCTGCTTATTAATATCTTATTGGGTTCTTGGGAACAAATAAAAGCAAGTTGAATGCTGTCTATTTTCTCAGGTAGTTATGATGCTGTGAATAGCAATGGGTGTTCCTGTAGCTATATCACCTTCAGATTTTTAAGATCAATTTCAAAGATTAATCTAAATTAATCCCATTGAGCAGCTGGGAAGACCAGTGCCATTCTGATAAGCTGAACATTAGTACATGTTACTATGTACATTCCAAGGTGGGAAAAGTTAAGGAAACAGTTTTTCATTATTCTATATGGAACAGTAACTGGAAAATCAAGAGGCTTGAGAAATATGAGAGATAAAAAAGGTGTTATAGCTGAAAGATTTATGAACCTTGGAAATGGGACCAATTTCTCTTGGTCCAAAGAAATATGTTCCTATTTTCTTGAATCAGATATTAAAAATACATTAGTAAATTATGTCCCTTCTAGAAATCACCTTTGTCTAGTGACATTCCCTGACTTCAGACGTTGACAATATATTCACGATGCATGGTACCTAGAGAAACAACAGGAACCCGTAATACTGTCTGTGCCCGTCCCAAAGCTGTATATGCTGCCCCCTTCATGTCAGTCACAGACAAATAGCCTATTCACTCACCCCTAAGGCATTCTTAGACACCAAAATATCTTTGAAACCCCACAGCAACTAAGTGGATATTTACGTTAGCAGATTTCCTGATGATCGGATCAGGTCAACCACTTGTTTGTGGGTAAAGCCTTCTGTGCTCACACCATTGATATTTGCAAGGATGTCACCTGGGAGATGCCAAGAAAAACAAGTGTTTTATTAGTTATTTAAACAAAGCCTCCTGACATGGAAATGAAGACAAACAAGCACGTTCCAACCATAGTGTCACTCAAGAAAATTCAAAGCAGCAACTGCTTCCTAACCTTCACTATCAAAGAGCTTCTTGCTATTTAAATGGCTTCTAGCATGAGCAGAGCTACATTACCAGCTTGCAGGCCTGCACAGTGAGCTGGGCTGTCTTCCTGTACTTTGCAGATCATGGTGCAAATTTCCGAGGAACAGATGTTCTGGTTCTGGAGTCTGTAGGTCTATAAAATGTAAGTGGATAACATAGTAACTTTTCAAAAAAGTCAACAAATATTTATTAAAACATAAACTCATGCCAGCAGCATTAAGTGACACAATAGGTAAGTGCAAAGGACAACTGTTGAAAAGCTTTCCTCACTGTACACTGAACTGAAGGTACCAATTTTGTAATTCCAGCAGATAATTGGCAGCCAATTCCATTCATAAAAATACATCTGGCATGAAAAAGAAAGTGGGATGCAAGTATCTCAACATGGTCTATTTTCAAGCCCGAGAGACCACCTGACACTATCACTGTGTATTTATTAAGAAAAAAATAAGTTTCTTGTTTCTCAACATGATTAAACAATGGTAGCCACGTGCAAAGAAAAAGATCCTTGTGGGCCATGCAGGCTAAGTAGGCATTGGAAGAGAGTATGAGATACAAAATGTCCCATAGGGAGACAGGCCAACACTAGTTATAGTAAATCAGTTCTGCAAATTACAGTCTGTCCTGTGTTTGTTCTAAGTACTCTAATTGGCCCGATCAGTTTCATTTCCGAGTGCACAAGACCCCTCCTGCAATGAACTCCCACCAGTTCCTCAGTCATCCAAATAAATAAAAAGAGACATGCTTACCCAGGTGTCTTGGTTTCACATAAATAGTTCAGTAGTACTGGGTTTTATTGTTGATGTTTTCAGTTTTTGCTTCAAAATGTATAAAAATACTAAGGAAACATTTGCTACATATAGCACTCCCATAACTTCAAGCAAGCATGCTTTCCTATTTAATGCATTTGAATTGTGGGGTAGAATTCCATCTAGAAATTCAGTGTTTTGAGTTGTCTTTTAAAGATCTGATTACTACAAATTAAGCCACATGAGAGTATTGCTTCCTTCTAGAGAAACCAATGTCTGAGACACCATAATCAGTTGCATGCAGATCTCTTTCAGAGCTAACCACTTGGCTCTGTTAAATGCTGAGAGATTTTTTTTTTACTCAACCATAATGCATTTAGAACCCACTTTTTGAAAAGTAGAGCAGCTTTAAGTAGCCTATAACACAGGCCCCTCCTCTATCAGAAGCCTTTTTGAGAGTTTCCTGTCCTCAACCACACCACAGCTGAGCTCCTTCAAGAAATGGAAGCCAATCTCATTCATGTGCTACAGAGACAAAGACTGAACTGATACACCTTTGAGAAATCACTGTTCTAGCAATCCTCATCAACAGGGAGACCCGACCTTCTTTCCCAGGTGTCAATGTATGCAAAGCGCAGGGGAAACACTTTGATTTATATAGCTGAAGATTTGGGAATCAGAGATAGAAAGGCAAAATCCATGAAGGCTCAGAAAAGATTACTTGGTCAAATAATATTCCCTGTCTCCCACCCACAACTCCAATCCATGTGTTTCTGCTGACTTGGCAAGAAATTGCCAAGATACTCCCGCAAACTGTTGACTTCTGAGGTATCATGTGTGTGCCGTAGCTCAGAGGTTGAACCATCAGGTCTCATTGAGCTCCTGAGGTCTCATCTCTCTGTGGCCTGTTGTCCAGTAATGATGATGTTGACTTTGGTTCTACACACACAATTGTGGTGAGAGAAACAGAAGGAAGCAGTCATATGTTTCCCACCAGAATGGGAAAACAAGATGGGCAGGCACTGAGGACCCTGTTTCCAGTTTGCTACCACTGGGCATCCTTGACGAGGCAGTGATAGACATGCAGTATCTCATGCAGGATTCCATAAGACAAAGACAAATGGCTCATGTGATTTGGCCCATCTTTTGAAGAAAATTATGCCTCAGGTAAATTTAAAGTAGGGAGCTCAGAAAGCAGAAACCCTTCTCCCACTACTTCCTTGTTTACTCCATGTTGTTTCTTTACTCATAGAACATGTTTAACATAGCAGCTTCCTGCTCCTGTTGTAAAATATACACTAAGCTTCCTTTTATGGGGTTGATATCACACCAAAGTTTTCTGAAAGCCGCACTCACAGGAGCTAAGATCTAAAATCTGACATATAGCATAAAAATACGATTATGCAAAGCAGATGGAAAAGAAATGCAGAAATGATATGGAAAAATGGAGACATGGGTTGCTACTACCAACCAAGGCACTTAATTAGACTGTAGTCCACTTGACTCCATCCACCATATTCACAAATGTAATCATAAAAAAGACAGGCAACAAATAAATGAAATTCTTGGACAGCCACATTGAAACCTATGAATATCGGCAAAAACTCCCCACCAGTGGTTTTCAAGTAATAAAGTGCTATTATCTTACAATCAGTGTGTGTGTGTGTGTGTGTCAAAGTTCCGATTTCTTGTTATACCCAATAAGAAATGTTTAGTCTCTGTTATGACATATGTGGATTTTATAAACACAAATATGCCATCAATTGGTATTTATTTTTATTTTCCTTTTTATTTTTTGAAACAGTGCCTCACAATGTAGTGCTAGCTAGCCTGGGACTCCCTTCCTGCCTCTGCCTCTCATGTGCTGGGTGAATTTAAAGCCATGAACCACCATGCCCAGCTCAAGTATTAGAATCTGATATACATACAGTATGAGGATATAATTATATGAAAATAAATTTCTGTAAAATGTCTTTTGTTTTCTTTTTTTAAGGTCCTGAAGTATCAGACGTCTATGTCTGGGCCTATCCTGAAGACTGAAGTAACTTGTCACAAGGAGCAAAGTGCATCTCTATAGAAACAGAAGTCTCAATGTTTTCTCTCCCTAAAGTACTTAACATACTGAAAAGCAGCCACACACTAAATAAAGTCCAGTGTCCGTCTTCAATCTCACCCTATCCTAACCTCATTGTTCTTTGCAAATATGATGATGTAATTAGTGTCTGTTTTTTCTTTGGAAATCTAGAATGGTTACAAACTGCCCACCTGAATTTCAAATCCAAATGCTCCATTGTCCTGCTTTTCCACAGTAACAAGCTTTCTGTAAGAAAAAAAATTAAACTGCATAAATAACAAATTATCATATTTGGCATGTATTTGGCATTAACAATTACTGTTACAATGAAAACTCGCTTTCATTTCTGTAATTGTAGTTAGGAGTATGTATGTACATTCTTGTGTGTTTGTGTGCCTGTGTGTGCACATGTGTGGTTGTGCATGTTTGTGGACATGCACACATACTGGAGCACTTACAGTCCTAAATATCTTGGACAGAGACTTCATAAAAAAGAAAAGGGAAGCAAGGGAGGAAAGGAGGGAGAGTGGAAGAAAAGGAAGGGAGGAAGGAAGGAAGGAAGGAAGGAAGGAAAGAAGGAAGGAAGGAAGGAAAAATCTCCTACCTTTGAGACCAGGAAAAGTCACCTAGAGAACTCGATCTGGCCAAAGCAAGCTGAAAAATACAAAAAAGCATACAGTTATCTCAAGGTCTTTAAGATGCATTCGCAACTGTTCTGGGTCACAAAGGACTTTGTTCTTCATCATCATCCTGGAAAACTCATAGATAAGATTAGTAATGTCCAGTGTCTCATAACAGCAAAAGAGAGTCTGGGAGAAAAGGGACTCCCAGAGGTTCTGTTGAGATGAGGAGAAGCTCAGATAGTAAGATACTGTGCAAGGAGAATGTTCACTCTCTATAGCAGAACTCCGAGCTTCCAATAATTGCTTTGTCTAACTCATGTTTGTGTTAACCTCTCAAAATGTGCTTTAGCAATTTGCAGCCATACTGAAACACCCACTCATAAAATGGCATGAAAACCACACAGTCCATATTTTCTTTAGCTGCTTGTGAAATGCTTATATTTACTATAACAGTTTAACATGCTACTCTTTTTTTACCAGGCTAAGATAATCTACAAAGAATGAGCTATGTGCAGAAATATGGTTCGAGGCACTGGCAAAATGGCTTAGTGTGTAGAGATGCTCACAGGCCTCACCATATAGGTTTGATTGGTGGGAGGGGAGAACCAACTCCTGCAATTTGTCTTCTGACTTCTTAATGCATAGTATTACTCGCACGCACGCACACACGCACACGCACACACAAATAATTGGGATAGAAAATAAGAAAAAATTCAGAAAAAAAGAGGGAGGTACTCAAAACCCCACTTTTGATTATGATTTATTTTCATAATAGTTTTGGAAGACTGTAGTGAGATTTCCTGCCAAGAAGCAAAGAAACCTCATAATGCTATAAACAACATCACATTAACTCGCCTGCACATTTTGGGAAAAGTGATATAATCATAAGCTTCTGGGACATACCCAAATTCTTACAAAGAGAGAAAGTCAGCAAAAGGGAAGACCTTTGTTTTAAGGGACTATGACGAGTTTTAGTTTTGATTTCGTTTGCTTAATAAATATTTAGTAGATGCTAATTATTAATTAGTCTGTTCCTAAATATTGTTCTAGGAACTCAAAACATAACATTGTGTACCTAATTAAGCCATAATATTTTTAAAATAATTGTTTATTTTTATTTTATATATATGAATATTTTGTCTGGATGTATGTGTGTACTCTGTGCATGACTGGTGTTTGTGTATGTAGAAGGACCCAGCAGATCCTTGGAAGTGGAATTAAGGGCTGCCTGTCATGAGCTTCCACGAGAGTACCAGAAACTGATTCCAGGACCTCTACCAGGGCAGCACATGCTCTTAATGCTGAGCCATCTCTCCAGCCTATAGGCCATGGCATTTAACTGCTAACACAATGTAATTGTCATTTATAAGCAAATAAGTAAAACAGTAAATCAAGGCAGTTGATATAGATAAATAAAAATAATGTGAGGATAAAAACCACACACAGAAAATACATAGGAGAAATTAATGCACACAGGACAAGTTCCACAGAAGCTTGCATTACCATAAATTCAAATTGTCAGGTACCAAATGCCAACAATTTCACAAATTTTCTGGAATGCCTTGGTGTTAAGAATTCAGCCACCAGTCACTATATATAATAGAGAGATGATGTCATCCCACAAACTTTGTGTAACAACTACATTGTCTTCTTTGTCAACTATACCTGGATTCATAAGCAGAAGGCTCAGACCCCAAATTATTCTGTAGGCTTATAATAACTTTCTAATCATGATTTATAAGAACTACTTATAGGATACCTATAGCAATTTGAGTAGTCTGTCATAACCTGATTTTGTGTCTAAAGTATTTAATGTACATGCCTACACACTTGTGAGCACACACACATACACACACACACACACACACACACACACACAGAGACAGAGACAGAGACAGAGACAGAGACAGAGAGAGATTAACAAGAATGGGAACTTTTCAGTTACATCAGAAGACTGCATCCCAGTGAATGGGAGTAAAACTCATGCAAGCATCTCACCCTTACAGTGTGTTCATTTTTCTTGATCTGTTTTCATTATTGCTATCTCCTTGGATTTCACCCTTCATTCAGATTGTCAAATACTTAATTCAGCTTTATTTAATTCTGTTAACTCTAATCACAATTAAAGGGTATGTGTTTGTTAAACATTGCTGTTGCTATTATGGTTTATCATATCCCTCCCATTGCCATCCACATGGAGGTTTATGTGTGTCCATATGTACACATCTATATGAGGAGCATATTTGATCAAATGCTTCGCTTCTTCAGTTAACCATCTGTATGCTTTGGGACTCTGGGGAAATACACTGGTTTTACTTTCCACCCTGGTGCTTCCCACGAGGCCTAGAGTAGAGTGTAACTTTAAAAATAGTAAACCAGACAGACAGAACTGAGCCTCAGTGCCATCTGTGACTGAATGATGGTGAGAGACCCCAAGTAAAATATTCAAGTTCAATAGGATTTGCTAAGATCTTCTTTAAGTTTGTCCTTCATTAAATTAAAGTTTCATGGGAAAAATTCAAAGACAATTTTTAAAATATAGGAAAGTCTCAAACATGTAGAAGGATTTTTTAGAAAACCATCAAGTAGTAGAAAGAGAGCTAAGAGAATCAAAGTAAAATAGTGGCATTTTAATATCTAAGGCTAAATAAACAAATGTTAACAAGAATTAATCAATCCTCAAGAATTAACCAATTGGCAAGAATTCATAAAATGTCTGACTACTACAATGTTAAATGCCACTATCTTAGACCCATATCCATATAATTGATAGGGACCTTAGGATTTCCTCAACCTGCCTTTTAAGTGACAGGTTATTTTGAATAGATTCAAATCTAAAATATTTTAAGCACACCAACTAGATCAGACTTCTCCATACAGAAGAGATTGTTCCTCACATCTCTCCTTGTATCAGTTCTGTGTAGCTTGCTGGCTAAGAACTAATGAGGAAAACTCTCGTGGCTGATATGTTTGGGTTATTAGTGACACAAAATGTTCAGACAAAATCAGGTTAGAAATTCGTTTCCTTCTGGACTGGTAAAGAGATGGTAAACAGGGAACATATAAATACAGAGCAATTTAAATACTTTAGCTACCATCAAACTCTCTGGTGGTGGGGTGGCCAGCAACATCTTGACACAGAGTCTCCCTGGTTTTGATCTGAGCTGTCCAAGTGATGATATAAAAAGAAACTCTCAAGGCTCTGCCTTGCTCACCTGCAAAACTGCCTGTTACTTACTTGGAGTGTTCCTAAGGCCTCATCAAGCGTCTTCTGAGCTAGATGCTGCCTCTCTCTAGCATGCATCAGTCCTATTTGAAGATGTGGCCTTGGAGTAGGTGTTGCCCAGACAGACTGCCCTCCTAGCCAAAGTCTTTCTGAGTTGTAGTGATGGCACACACACAAAAAAGAAATCATGAATGGAGAACTGGTGTGCAAATCACAGCATATGCTGGCAACAGCTGTCTTTTATTACACATCATCTAATATGAGAAGTCTAGCTTTAGTGTTTTGGCAGGCTTGAAAGCCACACATTCGGCTCTAACTACAGCAAACGAGACTTCTTAGCTTCTTCCTAGCCAGAAGTCTAGTGATGTCTGGGGCTGATCTTAGGAAGGTTCCTCTGCTTTCAGGGAGATGATTTAAAAGACAAGGCATTAATATTCTACACACAATGTCCCCAGCTATGCAGTGATTCGCAGGTCTTTCTTTAGTGGGAAATCAAGACCAAACACAGCAGCTGTCAGTGTGCAAAACAGAGAGGAAATCGGAAACATGGCTTGATGGTGAACCCTCCTCAGAGCAGCTCAGAGACCAACACAGAAGGCACTTTTGCTTCGAAGGCAGACTTGTGTTCTTGTCCTGGCTCTGTGTACTCATTTCCTGCAAAAGTTGTGGGTGTGGTTAGGAGATGGTACAGACTCAGAGGGGTGCTTTTTTCTTCTAATACTTTGTTTCGAATTATGTCCTTGGCTCTTTCCAATCCCCTGCCTATCTCACTTTTATTCCAAACTTTTTCATGCATACATCTCTCCCCATCTTTTGAAAGTCAGAGCATTATTATAGAACAAACCATCAAACTTTCCAAAGACACAACAGAAGAATGAACTTCAAGTCAACAGCTCAACTTATAATACCCTTATGGGAGGTGAATACCATGTTCCAGCTTCCATGGAAGGTCTGATTACAGCCCCACACCTCTTTTTAAAGAAGAATGGTTGGGGATTAGCCCCAGCATAACACTGTGATATTGATGCTGTCTAATAAGATTCTGGCAGATGTACAAAGAATGTCCCTATGGATGGAAACCAAGCCATAATTATTCTCACTACAAGCATTTAGCACCATCCCTAACTGAAATTGTATGTGAAACCAGCTTTCTACAAGGTTCCTATTTAGCTATAATTTCACCACTCAAAAATTAGACAATGACAGTTTGGGTCTAATTCATAGTCGAACTTCACACCTGTGTGCCAGACTACTGGTTCTCACTGCCAAACTAGGCAAGAGCCACCTTCATCCAGCCAGGCACAATTTCTACCCCTGGGACATGGAATGCTTGCAAGACTTCCCTTCTCTTCTATCAACCTCCTTCAGGGTTTTATATTGCAGGGACTTTGCCCCAAAAAACTATGTTCAAAATTAGAAGCATCACTGGTGTGTCTGGCACTTCCCACCAATGCAGGTACTGAAATAATACGCACACACAGAAATCTATTTTTAAGTAGTTCTGAATGCAAACACCCTGTGGATTCTGAAGCTGAAGCTGAAGCTGAAGCTAGAAGCTAGCCAGATATAGCTTTGCAGAAACCAAAGCCACAATAACAAGAAGTATGAATGTTGACGTCAGCCCTCAAACTGTTGAAAATAACAGCAGACAGAGGAACACCTGCCGCTGCTGCTACTATTACTTCACAGGAATCCTGAAGCAGACAGTTCAGTCAGTGCCAGAGGGTTGGGGTTTTGTGGTTGCTAATGTTGTTTGCTTGCTTTTCTAAGAAAACAATTAAAAATAACGATTGTTTGCTAATTAAATTTTAATTGCTCATTAATATTAGCTAATAAGTAAATGTCCAGGTGGAAAATCATAAAATCTTGGCGTATATACCTGCATATCACTGACAGTGATTATGTAGAACCACCAGGGCATGCTCCAAATGTTTGGTTTAGAAAAAGGGTTTTGTTAGTTTTTAAAATTCTGAGACAGAGTTTCTCTGTGTGGTCCAGGATGTCCTGGAACTCACTCTGTAGAGCAGGCTGGCCATGACTCAGAAATCCAACAGCCTCTGCCTCTCAGGTGCTGAGATTAGAGGTGTACACCACCACCACCAGGCCAAGAAAAGGTTTGAGAATAGGTGAACTATATGACACAGTGTGTTAAAGAATACAAGAAGGAAAAGAGAAGAAATACAGAGGTGCATGTACATAAGTTTCTCGTATAGGAAGTCTGTGTGCTCACACATTTTTATATGCCGAAATCCCTCTTATGATTCCCTCAAATAATCACCCAATGCTACTGGTTGTCCTTCTCCAATTCATACTATCTTCACTCAGGCTTAAAAGCCAGATATGCCTCATCGGTTTTTGGTTCCATTGATTACCAAGTCTTTACCTTTCCTCTCCATTGCTTCCTTCCCTCTTTCTCCAACTATTGTAAAAGCCCTTCCATCAACATGCCACTTTTTAGAATGAAGTTCCTAAAATCCACAACATCTCAAGCCTATTCAGTGGCTCTGGATGCTGGTCCAATCATAGTCAGCTCTTTGCATCCATTCATGCAACCAACTGCAGATGAAAATACTCCACAGAAACAAAACACTGCATCTGTACTGAACATGTATTATGTTTCTTTACTGCCATCATTCTCCAAATGATATAATGTGACAGCTATTCATACAGCTAATGATATTGACTTAGGTAGGAGCCCTGATACTAGTAGTTTATATGCAAATTGGCTTCCACTTTATATCAGGGACTCCTGCATCTGTGGTCTTTGATTTTCATGGGGGGTGGTTTTAGAACCAACATGGATAGCAACAGTCAACTGCACCGCCTTTTCAGTTTACACACAAGCCTGTCTCTCCTCTCTCCTCTCACCTCTCTCTCCTCTGTCCTCTCACAGGGACACTAGATCTTCCTGACACACCAAGCACTATGTGACTATGCAAACATGCCCCCAAGGCCCAAGGCCCAAGAGTCTATGCCTCAACCTTAGAGAGTTTCTTGCTTACACAGACTGCAGGATGGTTTGCAGAAACTTGTTACATATCTGCTGTATAATACCTGTTTATTCTCTCCCTAAACTGGAATCCTCCAGGAAGGAAACACATCCTTGATTTTTTTTTACCTTGCAAGGGTCAAGGATGATGTAATGCCTGAACTGAAAAGGAGATGTGGAAAGATCTCACCCTTGATGCAAAATTAACAAGTTGCTTTCTTGATAAGTAATGTACCCAGAGAGCGAATCATAGGCTAAACAAATAACAGAATTTGGTTTAACAGCTTCATGGCAAATAGAAACAAAAATGGACTGTTCTCTATCTGGAATCTGAGTAAAGATGTTTGATATTTGATGATAAATGGATGCAGATGTTCATCAAACTTTGTATCATGAGACTTTGGATTGACAGTGATAACCAAATCTTGACAAATAATTCCATCATCTTCTTCACTGAGTAAGATGCCAAGGAATTGGTTCACCACATCACTGAAAGAAGAACCGGCCTCTCCTCTGAGCTGGGATGCTGTAATGCTGAAGTTAAAAGCATTCTGAGGAGAACATGATGCACACAAGAATGCAGGCCACAGAGCTATACTCTCATGCTCTCAGTCACCTCTCAACTTCTTGTGCACAACTGTTGTATATAAGTCCAAGTATACACAGTAATCCTTATAGCAATTTATATGATCAAAATATACGGGGGTATATGGCTAATTAAAGACCAAAAATTCACAAGAAATTCGTATACACATAGATTTGTCTAAGTGGGTGTTCATCTCTAAAGAAATTTTATGCAATAAAAATTTCTAAACAGCCTTTACTGAGTGCCTACTACCCTGAACATTTCCTTACTTAAGGAACAGAGAATTCAAGAATGATGTTTCTGTTGTTGCTTCATCAAATGAATGCAATTTTATGCAACAGCTTCTTTTTTTAAAGGACATAATGTGAGGGTGGCTGGCAACTTGCTCAAGATGCCACAGCTACTGAGAAGCCAAGCTGGGTCTCCACCCAACATTTATCTCCCCCCATAAGCCTTACTTCCCAACATCCTCTGGTTGAGTCAGTGCACAACTTAGTTGACAACCTTTGTGTTCCAGGAGATGTCTTCTCTTGATTGGAAACTAATAGGACTACCAAGGCCTGGAGGTGAGATGAGAACGGAGAGAGTCAACAGAGACACTGAGGGCAAAAGCCTGTGCTCAACTGCTTCATTAACTTGAGCACATCCTTAAATTAAAAAGAAATACTTATGTCTTACTTTAAAAAAAAAGTGACTTTTTCCATCTCTGGACTGCTACTCTATCTCTGTGGGGCCTGTCACCTTCTTCCTCACATGTTCTCTCTCAGTCATTAACTCCTAAGTAAATTGACTTCCTAGGCAGAGGTTGTTCTCATGGGAGAAAAGAATTCTGTCTTGAATAAGAACCAAAATGCCTATTAAGGATGAGGAGTGAAGCCAGGAGTCAAGGAATTTATGGAGCCATGCAGGAAGGAGCAAGTACCACTTTCAGCAGTAGTTAGACAAGCGTGAACATTCTAGACAGAAGGGCATTCATACCTGCTTCCGTCCCCGAGGCAAAGTAGCCACAGTATCTGCCAGCATTTGAACCCTTCTGCTGTCTTCCATTGTGAGCGGGCCTGTGAGTGTGGAGTAGGAGCTGTACGAAGAATCAACATAGTACTCCAAGTTGCCATTGCCGTTCTGATGCTGTAGAAGCCTTTGCAAAGACATTGTGGACAAAGATTAATCCTGCCAGCACATGCTGCAGGGACCTTGCAGGAGGGAGGAAGCAAAATGCACAACCCTCTGACACGCAGTCAAAAAAGTAGCAAAGCAGAAAGGACCCATGTGACTACTGTGGTTTGAGGTACAGTTACACAAACCCTATCTAGGAGTTCACTCCCACTCCTTGGAGCTCCTGAGTGAAGCTGGTGCTCCTTTTCTACAATTAAAAAAGGCAGGGAGGAGGGAAATCAGCTTACTTTTTTCTCCCTCCAACAACCAGAACACTTAGAATTTGATACTCTATGCTTGGGTGTATTCAAAACAGAATTTTCCACTTTTTAAAAGAAAGGAAAAAGAACCTTGCTCAAGTTCTGTCATTTATTTCCTACCCATACCCTCAGTGCACAAGGTAGACAGCACAAACGTGTGTAAGCATCACACATGCTGGTCATGTTGTTTTCCATAAAGTACTTGCAGTGTCCCTCCCCTGAAGTACCACCTAGTTCGTTAAAGTTCATCAAGAAGACATTCTATCACTTGGGCTGTAGCCATTTGACATCCCCCTGGGTTGCCTTTATTCTGCCATGCCCTCACTTAAATTATCCATTATCTTTAGAGAGCATAATGAGGGGGGAAAGGCAACATATAGAATGCAGAGTGTTGGTCATATCGGGGACTGAACATAGCTGTAGCATTGGGGAAAAGAATGGGTGGGCAAGAAAGAACTAGGCAAGCTAAGACAGCACAGCGTGGCCCATTGTTGATATGTGCTATCACACGGTACTTGAAAACAGTTGCTTTTTAATTTTTTTTTATTTGAGTCATTTATAGAGAACTCGTTCCACAGAGAAGCAGAGTAGGAAAGTCGAAGGTAAAAAAAAAAAAAAAAAAAAAAAAAAAAAAAAAAAAAAAAAGGAGAAGTTTTAAACAGCACAAAAGTCAAACATGCATCTAAAAGTCATTTGGAAGGTCACTTCCAGAGTTTACAAGAAATAGAAAAGCTTCCAGCCAGAATGGAATGTGTGTACTAGAAGTTGAGGTGAACTGAGCTCAAGCAGAACTTGCCCAATGTGAATTATAAAGTCTTCAGAGTTAATCCAAAGAGGGAGCCAAGCAAGGAAATGGTGAAGCCCTACCATCGCATGACTTCTTACTGTAGGACTAGATTAAAATAGAAGCAAAAAGGTGTCCACCAAAACATATAAAATCCAAGTCAGAATTTACACACACACACACACACACACACACACACACACACACACACACACACACACACCTTTAGGGGACAGGGAAGTATAGTTCAAGAGGGAGTGGCAGTGACCTCAGTAGCTAAACAAAATGGATCATAAAAGCATTCAAGTAGTGCATATGCATCTATGTAAGTGCATACTATATGTGTGTGTGTGTGTGTGTGTGTGTGTGTGTGTGTGTGTTAGAAGGGGATATTAGAGAAGTCATGAAGCATGTTACACAATTAATGGATAACATCAATTCTTTGTCCTCTAGGAACTTTACAGTTAGGTAAGTGTGCTAATATTTCAAAACATCAAATTAAGCCTAGTTTTATAGATGGAAACTAAAATTATATGAGTTCAGTGTTACAAGATATTAGACTGTAGACTACAGACCTTAATGATTAACTGGAGAAATAAGGAAGCATTTTTCACTATATGAGTTACCAAATGCATTTAACAAGCTGAGTCATTTAATAAGTATACTTACTTGTGTACTCCGTGAATATAAATATCAGGCAAAGGTAGGTCTGCTCCCTGCCCATAACATATCAGTCAGGTCACACCCACTGATTATGTGTTTGTGAACTGGTCAGTTCCTATGGTTCTGCTCTGTTCTAACTCTTAAGGCCTGTGTCAAACCTTACATATTGTAACAACTGCAATATAATATGTTACTACATATTGTAAGTTATATCCTGATCAGAAGTGTCAGTTGTGATACCAAGCAGTGAAACACTAATCTCTCAATGACAATGTAGCTTTTCCTCACATTGTTGGCTTACAAAGGTGTTTTACTGTTTAGATTTCGAAGTTCTGTGTTGTTTCTTGTTGTCCTCTAGGATTTACTTTCAGAGTATAGTAAGTGCCTGCTTCCCGTCCCCCATTAGCCTCTACACCACTGTGAGGAGGGGCTGCTGAAGATGATCTAGTCAAGCTGTCCACCATGAAGGGCTCAGGTATGCCTCACTGTCCATAGGACAAAATAGACATATTCAGAGTTCTTTTCTCACTCTATCTCTGAAGGGGCTAGCCATACTTTTAAGATCATTCCTTCAAGACCTAAATACTACATGTGAGTCATAGTGAGACACATATAAGACTGTTTCTATGTCAATCCACCATTTCCTCTCATTTTCTTAAGATCAAAAGACATCTTTTAACTTTAAGTTTATATTTATGTTTTATATGCAAAAATTGTGAAGGAAATGTCTGTCAATAAAAATAAGAAATAAATCATATTTTAAAATTAATTTCCTAAAGCATCAAGAAAGGAAAACCAACCTGAGAAGCAAAGAGAGAGAGAGAGAGAGAGAGAGAGAGAGAGAGAGAGAGAGAGAGAGAGAAAGTCATTCCAAAGGAGCTATTGTGTTCCTCAAGGGTGCTCTGAGTGTGAGAACAGATCTCTTTAAAAGATTACCTGCCATGTGCTCCAAAAACTAACTTTCCATTGTCTAGAGGCAAGTAATCCTCTTACCTGGAGCATTTTGTTTATATGTAGAAATCCATCCTTAATATGAATGAAGTGAATTAACCCTGATGGACGCGGGAAGATTTGGTAGAGGCAGGTAAGGAGACATGCTGACTCCAGAACACAGACAGAAAGGTAGGAAGTTCTTCAAGAAACTGTGGCCAACCTGCTAACCATCCATGAATACAACAAGAATATTGACCCCACTGCTCTGATGCCAGACCCCCTAGATTCAAATTCTGGCTTTGATGGTTTAAGAATAGAGACTAAAGAGTGTCTCACTGTGTGCCCCTGTTGAAGCCATATCCTCCAGTGTGGACTGCCATTGGATAAATCGGTAATCAAGGTCAGCTGAGGTCAGCAGGATGGAACCCTGATCTAACAGACTATGTTCCTGTAAGAACAGACATCTGAGAGATCTCTTTCCATATGGGGACACAGCAAGAAAGCAAGCATCTAAAGGCAGGAAGAGATCCACAGTATCAAGTGGATCAAGTACCTTGATCTTGGACTTCGAAGCCCCCAGAACCCTGAAAACAAAAATATATGTAGAGCCACCCAGTGTATGATGAGTCTTATACTACAGGATTTGCTATGTTGGCCATTGTCTAGCAGCCTGAGCTGCTTCATATACACGCTAAACCTCAGTTTCCACATATTTAAAATGAGCATTTAGGAGGAACAGATAAAAGAGCCCATGAGTACCATACAGTACAAAAGAAACTATTACTAGTGAAAAGAACTCAAAAGGAATGCTGAGAGCAAACAACCTTAGCTCCACATGAACTTGCCTGTCAACTACCAGTGTCCACGTGTGAAGCAGAGGGCCCTCATCTCCCTTACAGAACACTAAGCTGGATGACATGTGAGTCCCTGTAGTAAGATGTGTTCACAGAACAATGTCAGAGCCAGTTCCTAAATTTTTGTATCCCTTTTAGCTCAATATATCTGTTTATTCACATGAACATGGAAGACAAGTGAGTGGGTACTGAGTGCGACTTCCACAGCCATTTAGTTAGATTTTCATTCTAGCTTTGTGACATTATTTGTTCAAGATTTTCTTTGGCGTTCTAGAATACCATAGTAGTTTGTTTTATTTTAGGCCTTTATTATGCAGAAAACTTTTGTTTGACTCCCTGAACATAAGAAAGACAAAAGTCAATGCCATATAGATGAAAGTGGACTATTATGTATTTGAATTTGCAGAAAGTAAATTTAATTTTGTAAAATTCTTTATTTTGTTTTTTGAATACACAAATCATCTTAATTCTTTTAAGATTTTTAAAAACATTTTTGAGGTAGGTGTGTGTGTGTGTGTGTGTGTGTGTGTGTGTGTGTGTGTAAGCATGTACTTTCATGCATGTTCCAGAAGAGGGTGTCAGATCTCCTGGAACTGGAGCTACAGGAGGGTGTGAATAGCCCAACATGGGTGCTGAGATCTGAACTCTAGGCCTCTGGAAAAGTAGCAAGTGCTCCTAATCACTGTGCCATCTCTCTAGCATCCTTACCACCCTAGTTTAATGACTGGCTTGGGCAGATTGATATTTCCCTTTTCCCTGAATCGATGGGAATTAGATACCATTCTCAAAACAAAACTAAGGATTCGTCTTAAAAAAAAAAAAAAAAAAAAAGGCAACCTAAGATTATACTGCAAAGACTGTCCCTAGAGAGTAGCCAGTTCAAGGAAGAAAAGTAACAGAGTCAGCTCATTAAAGCTCCTGTAACTATAGTGTTGAGAAGCATAACATTAGAACCATTAGAATTACCAACACATATTTAAACAAAAAAGAGAAAATTTTAACCCTAACATCAACAATAACTAACAGAATGTTCTTAATATGCAAACAAGGAAACAATTTTCTAACCGATTCGTGTTTCAATTCACTTACTCATGAAGCTATGGGTGGACCATATTATCACCCTAGGGAGGCCCCTAAAGGCATTTTGTCTTATCAAGATCAGCTTTTCTTGCAGTAATCGGGTGAGCTAACTCTGTCTTCAAGTGTAAAAATAGATGTCTTTCCACACCCATTCACTCAGTTATCACAGAGCAACATCACTGACGACTTCATAAAAGTTCCGTCCCTCCCTGCTTCAGCCTAGAGAGCATGCACACAGCAATGGGTACATGGCTAAAATAGGTCTGTAAGAAGTCATGCTATCAGTGTAAAGAGGCTTGTGCGAGTCACTCGGAGCCGGAATGTGTGCTACCTTCTTCGCCTGTGTACGGCTCCAGTTGTTAGCCAAAATTATGTGGCAGTGTACAAGCCTTTTCTGGGGTTTTAGAGGCAGTGAGTGAGTAA